TATATGCAAGTCTAATCAAGTTCAGGCAAAGCAAAATATACACACCAACGAACAACGATAAAAATGTCCAGAGGTTAGAAGACTTACGTATGAGATAGTGCTTCCCGGTTGAAGTCTGTCGGAGGGATTATTCAAACTCTGTTTGGCAGAGGTATTTGATAAACAAAGAAATTTGATGCACCGGAATAGAGAGTATGGAGTTTTCTGGGTTTAGCGAGAGAAATATATGGCCAAAGTCCTTAGCCTCTTTCCCAGTTAAACAAATAGGAGATGCCCTTTTTCTCACGACCCGACACCGTGGCCGAAATCCAAGGCACTCATAATTGCCCGGCCGTCGTTTGGGAAACGTGCGTGTTAGTGGGGCTTAATTTCCGTTCTGGTGGGATTCAAATGAGACGGGTTATCTTCCCGGATCAGGGCCTCACCCGCGGACAGCTACATTTGGGCTGGGATGGAGCTTATTTGTTTCATATGGGCCAGGTCAGTTTTATTTAAGTATCAAGTCTTATTTATTTTGCATAATTAACACTTGACAGGGGCACTTGACGAGTCCAGATCCATCACCGTCACTGGGCTGGCCCACTACTTGGCCCTAGGGTTAAGACCGTCCCGATATGGCGGTCTATTATTGTTAACCCTAGTAGGAATCGGATTTCCCCCAAGTCTATAAATAGGGACCTTTATTCCACACTAAAGGTACGCAATCTTAATTATCATATCAGCACATACATAACCCTATTTTCTAACTTAAGCTTCAGAGTGTCTACCCTCGGGAGACGCCCGAGGCTCTGTTTTGTAGGAAACCCTAGTCGGAGTTTCACCCAACACCGGCGGTACAAATCCAAATATCGTCATTGATCTTGAATTTCTCTAATTGTAGTCTCCGTTGTGGCTCCTGTTTGATCCACCCAAACCTTTCCTACAGCTATTGTTGTATCGGCTTGAACCTTCTGCTATTTTTTCCAATTCGTATATGATATATACATGCTACCACTGCTGCCCTGATCAATTTCCTTTTCAGCTTTTGATATCTGCGGTCATTCTTTATCCTTGTCTGTAACTGCATCAACTGCACTGCTCTACCACATTATTCCAGCCATGTAAAAAAACGAAAAAAAAAGATTTCTTTTTAATATATTTTATGTGTGCTAATATATTTATCTACCTATGAAGGAAGATATGATAGGGAAATACTCCCTCTGTCCCAAAATTATTTTTCAATTTGAGATTCCATTTTTAGTACAATTTGAACTAAAAATGAAAATCCAAACTGGACAATAATTATGGGACAGAGGGAGTATGTAAAATGAATTGAGTTTGAAACTATGAAGTTGAGTTTAGATGTATGATTCAAATTGTGTTGTGATTACTTACACAAATCTTCGATGCTTGAATTGAGATTGGAATGAGAAAAACAAAAATAGAGGGCAATTTTGGTTTCAGTGGAATAATAAAATGAAGGAGACTTTTCTTTCCATCGGAAGAAGTGACAGGAACAATTACCTCAAAACAATTTTATTTTAACTTTGTCATTGTAAACATGTAAATGACTACTACCCTTAATACAATTTATTTAAAAGTGGTACCCTTAATCTAAATTTTTCCTTTTTTCTTGAAGAGCTATTCATACTTTAAGTCATTTTTGGATATACGCTCTCCTGTTCTATGGGAGACGGTGAGGGTATCTTAACAACTTGCACATAGAAATTCACATGCAATTAAAGTCATAAAAAAAATCACACGCAATCTGTGTTCTTTTTTCTCCCAAATTAAGAATCACACGCGATCAAAAATCGGGATTAAAAAAATCAAACCCATCCAAAGATCAGTATGTATTTCTTTCAGGAAGGGTTACACTTTTTATAACAAGAGTTGATTTTTTATTTTTTTCTTTTGAGGAAAAAAGTTGATATATTAATATTGGCAACACTCCTGGAGTCTTGGATTCTTTCTTTAAAAAAAATTTTTTGGCTTATACGTCAATACAAAATCATCGTGCTCATGTTTTCTTTTTCTTTTTTTTTCTTTTTTCTTTTCTTTTTCTTTTTTGAAAAGAAGCCAACTCTGAAGAAAATCAAATTAACCAAAACTTCTAGTATCTACGTACCATTAATTAGTTACATTTACATTTTGAGAACATTTGGAATGAAACCCTAAATCAAGCAGCTCAACTTTTACCCTATTTATCGGTTTTTAAAATTTCATGTGGATTATTTTTTTAGAGACATATAGTAATTGGTATGTGTTGGGATTTGATTTTCTTCAGAGCAACTTCTACTCTGATTTTGCCAGGAGATTTGGTAGGACGATCATCGATTTTTAGGCATATATTCTTCTCTTGATGACTGTTGAAGAAAGAATGAAGAGCGTAAGTAAAATGACTTTTGTGAGGATTAGAAGGTTGACAGGATTAGGAGGGAAGAAGCAATAAAATTAGGGAATCTGAAAATTTTCAAACCTCAGGGAAGATAGATCTTCAGTCCATCGAATCCAGGTATCCATTTGATAAACGATTCATGCGCAAAACAAACATAGTTGCCAGCTTTAGATTTAAGGTCAACCTATTAATTTGCAAATTCAAAGTTTGGAGACGGAATTTTAAAAATTCTGCACTATAAGTTACCAATACTTAGTGTTTTATTTGAAATTTTTTTTTCCCACCTTTACAAAACTTCTGGAATAGTAATAAATTATCTAAACATGGAGTCAGCCGCAATGTTCCCGATCTGCTGGCCATAAGTCTTAGTTAGTAATTTACTACTATTATTGATGGTTATTATCCAATTTTATTTTTGAAAAAACACGTTTTCTAAGAAAATTCAACATAGAATTAAATCTTAGGTGGTAGTTAGAAAACTATTTTAGTTTTCTCTCTCTGAATTTTTTTCTTAGTATAGTAAAAATATATGCTGCGTACATATAGATTTAGTACTAATTTATGGTTAAATTCTATAATGTCTTTTTAAAAAAATGAAAAATGAAAATTTTACTTAAAAGAAAAAACAAAAAACATGTGTAGTTATTTGACCGACCATATTTATGAAAATGGTGAATTTTTTTATCGACTATCAGTAACCTGTGATTTTTTGGACAATATGTTGCAGAATTTAAGACAATGGATTAAAAAATAATAAAATAGTACAAAAGAGCGAAACGTGGGAGAGTTTAGAATTTAGAGATTTTTTTTTTTTTTGGATAAGAGAATTTAGAGATATTTTAGTCTTTACATAAGTTGCGCAAAGTGAAATCAATATCGTTTTCCAACCCACTATTTTCACTATTAAGTTATTTTTCATCTTTGGCTTATCAAAAATAATAAATTGTTTATTAAAATCAAGTTCAAAAAGTACGGAAAGTTTTTAGCATCAATCCCTTAATAAATACGTAAGGGAAAAAAAAATTTACTTTTTCACTGTTTACCTTAGTCAACAAAACTCCGGATTAGATAAGTTCCTAAAATTCCTTTAAATCTCTCCCACCACCACCAACCACCGCCAACACCAACACCACCACCACTATCACAGCCCACACTTATCTTTCTGTTAAAATCAACCAGGAGACCCACAGATCAAATCCACAAAACATCACCTTCTTTATCCTCACCGGACAATCAATTTTTTATTTTTGCTTGGCTAATTGACTATATTTATTAGAGCCGACTATGAAAGATGAAGTTGTAACATATTGAAGCTTGCTTTCACTCTGCCTGTACAAATAAGAAAAGTCCACTAGGGGTGTAATGGAATTGGAAATTTGGCGTTCTAGGAATCATGAACGTACGTAATTGTATTAATATGCTTTCTATAATTGAAACCATGGGCTATTCTTCTCGAGGAATACATGGAGACCGTATCCAGTGCATCCGGGTGTACCGTATACCCCCCACCAAACACACGCTAACCACGCGCTTAACTGTTTTTACCTTTACATTAAATGTACACATAAAGTAATTTTCATCAATTTCATCCTCACGTATAAACACACACAAACACACAGTCGACGGAAACTCTCCAATTTAGGGCAAACCCACACACACACACAGACAACGGCGAGATACCCTATGTCCGGCCATCTCAAGCTCTCCTTCATCTATACATACTTGAATGGTAAGTATATTACTCCGGGATCCTCTTTTTTTAATTATCCAGCAATATCTTGTGTGTATCCACTAGATCTGAACTATTTATCCATGGTTTCCTGCGTATGCTATGTGATCGTTGTCCATGCCATAATCTCTGTTTATCCATCTATATCATACTGACATTTGTTATCCACCTATATTCATTCTGGTTATCCATAAGTTGTAGAGTGGTTATCCAGAAGTTGTAAAGTGGTTATCCACAAGTTTTAAACTGGTTATCCATGCTATTTTTACATTTTATTCTATGTGGCATGGACAAACAGAACTGGTTATCCATGTTTTTGTGTTTTTTTTTTGTTACTGGTTTAGGGTTTAGGGTTTAGGGTTTAGGGGTGCTTGTCCAAACTTTGTTTTTAGTTATCCATCCATTAAATATTTGTTATCCGCATGGTGTAAACTGGTTATCCATTGTTTTTTTAGATGTGCTTTTATGTGGCTACGTCCATACATTATTTGCTGGTTATCTAACCATTTCATACTGGTTATCCACAAGTGGTAAACTGGTTATCCATGCTTTTTTAACATTTGATTTTATGTGTTGCTTGTCCAAACTTTGTTTCTGGTTATCCACCCATTTTAACTTGTTTATCCGAAGTGAGTAAACTGGTTATCCATTGTTTTTTTTAGATGTGCTTTTATCTGGCTACATGTCCATACATTATTTGCTGGTTATCCACCCATTTCATACTGGTTATCCACCCATATCCTGCTATTTTGTCCACTGACTTCTTACTGATTGTGCAATGCCAACAGTGCCCTAAAGGAGTTTAGGACAAAATATAGGCACGAGTGGATCAACGCATTCCACGAACTCAACTGCAACCCAGACAGATCACCGGATCCTGAACCAGAGAAAATAATGGAGCTCCCTGAAGGAACACTGACCCTATATAAAAAACAAACACGAACCCAAGAAGAACAGTCCCCTGTACAAACTCCAAGGACTCAAAACTTGTGGAGAAAACCAAAGAGGAAGAAGAGCACACCGACAGGAACTCCAAAGCAACTTGTGGTTGCTGATGACAATGATGATAAAAAGCCCAAAAAGAAAAGAATGAAACCTGAGAACAACAAACTGATAATTGGTCAAGATCCACGGCCAATCAGTTCTGAAGATTCTGTCAAGAAATTTGAGACAAGGATGACACCGAACCATCTCTTCCAACTCATCACTGAAATCAATAAACCAACAGATCTTACAAAAGAGCCAGATGCGGTAGATTATCGCCAACTACAAAGGCAGGCTATCAAAGATATGGGATTTGGCACATTACTGGATCTCAAAATCAAAATTATTCCAACAGCCTTGTGTAATTTTCTGGCAAGCAATTTCCAGACCGGTGCCAGACAAGTCCCATTGAATGGGAACAATGTACTGGATATCAAACAGGAAGATGTTGTTGCTATACTTGATCTTCCTTGTGGACCCAAACCAGTGCAAGAATTCAAACAGAATGATCCCGCTATAACGGACCACGCTGAGATGGTGGATGCGTTCAAGAAAAGAATGGGATACAGTAATAAATTCCTGCCAACAAGATCCACCGCGGCATAATTAATTGCTAGTCGAAAAGATTTTGATGATGACTTCAAACGAGATTTCCTCGTCTTTGTTGTGAGCACGTTCCTACATGGAAACACCACTTCCAGGATCACAATGAACATCCTGAAGTCCCTCGTGAACATCAATGAAGTGATACAATACAATTGGTGTCAATATGTGATTGATGCACTTGTGAAAGGATGCAAAAGTCACCACGATGGGAAACCATTCACCGGACCAATCACTTTTTTCCTGGTACTTACCATATCCATACAAATTTTACTAGTTATCCATATTGCTTGCAATGTTTATCCAATTTGCTTGTACTTGTCTGATGTGATTGTACTTGTCATCCAACTAATTTGTACTGCTTGTCCAACCCTCTTTTTCCCCTTTAAATGATTACCCATTGTGTTCCTGCCGGTTATCCAGCCTATTTGAACTCATTATCCACTTCATTTGAACTGGTTATCCAATCTGTCTAAATTATTATCCAATTTGGGCAGATTATCCAACTAATTAGTATTATTTATCCAACCTGGTTTTTGTTTTTATTATTTTTTAAAAAAATAATAAACTAAGTTGGTTATCCAACTCATTTGTATTGGTTATCCAATCATTGGTTTGTATTGGATTATCCTATGCGCTAATGCTGGTTATCCAATGGATTTACATGGTTATCCAAATTGTTAGAACTGGATATCCACTTTGTTCATACTGGTTATCCAACTCGTGCATACTGGTTATCCAACTTACTGGATATCCAACTTATTCTGCCCATCAAAATTTAGTCATTTTTAAACTCAAAAAAAATATTTGAAATGGATTTCGTTGGATAGATCTCGACGAGTACTAATTAGTTGGTTATCCAATTTATCAATTTGTATTGCTTCTCCAACCCTCTTTTTTCCCTTTAAATGGTTATCCATTGTGTTCCTGCCGGTTATCCAGCCTATTTGAACTCATTATCCACTTCATTTGAACTGGTTATCCAATCTGTCTAATTTCTACTGCTTGTCCAACCCTCTTTTTCCCCTTTAAATGGTTATCCATTGTGTTCCTGCCGGTTATCCAGCCTATTTGAACTCATTATCCACTTCATTTGAACTGGTTATCCAATCTGTCTAAATTCTGATGGACACCAACTTTTTTTTTTTGGTTAGTTGTGCTACCTTGACAGGTGTGAGTATGAGAGAGCACATCTGAGGTCATTCCCTGTGATCAAATCTTGGGACCAAAGGATGCTGGACGACAGAATAAGGCTTCAGGGAAGCAATTTCACAGATGTCCAGACACTTGAACGTCTCAAGAAACCGTCCTCAGCAACATCTCGAGATGAACAACCAGAGGCTGAATCACAGAAGGAGGATACACAGGGAAACCCCAACACACAGTAAGTCTATGTACTGTTCTACCGTTTTTTTTTTTAGATCAAACTTGTCGCTCTTTATGTAAAATTCTACCAATTGATTATCACGATGAGCAAAACTGTTTTAGACATTCGTGAGAAGGAAATGGAGTTAAGAATCGAACCAGATGAACAAGCAAAGCAAACAATCAAGATCCTATCAGATGCAATGGTGTCGATGAGTAGAAAGATGCCTCCGCCATCAAGTACAACGCAACTGGAACAAGAGCAGCAGCAACACCAGCAAGACCTCCAGGATGCACAGATTTGTGAATTGTGCAAGATGGCATGGAAGTCTGCTGAAAGCAGATTTGCAACAATCATAGAACAGCTGCAACGACAAGTAGCTGACCAACAAGAACAACAGCAACACCAACAAATTGATGACAACATTGTAGAAGCTCCAATTAATCTCGCAAAATTTCAAGACATTGAAATTGACAAAGCACAGGGACTGGAGCAATTGAGCCAGACAAATGATGGGGCTTCTATTGCAGTGGGGAAAACTGTGCCTACTTCAAAAGAAGTGGTGGTTGATGAACCACAAACTCAACTACAAGGGGCATAGGGACTGGATCAATTGAGCCAGACAAATGATGAGAATTCTCTTCCAGTGGGGAAATACGTGCCTACTTCAAAAGAAGTGCTGGTTGATGAAAAACAAACTCAACCAAGAGGTAATGAAACAAATACTTGTCTGATGTGTTTGTACTTGTCATCCAACTAATTTGTACTGCTTATCCAACCCCTTTTTATCCCTTTAAATGGTTATCCATTGTGTTCTGCTGGTTATCTAGCCTATTTGAACTCATTATCCACTTCATTTGAACTGGTTATCCGTTCTGTCTAATTTGTACTGCTTGTAAAACCCTCGTTTTCCCCTTTAGATGGTTATTCATTGTGTTCCTCCTGATTATCCATCCTATTTGAACTGATTATCCACTTCCTTTGAACTGGTTATCCAATGTGTCTAATATATATGTACCTTCGTACTGATTATCCAACATTCCAACTTTGTACTGCAGAACATGCAACGAATTTCTCCACGATAGAAAAGAAGAGATCCCATCAAGATTCCACCGGGCGGGATTCAGCTGTGACATCCACCTATACCAAAAGGTCGGGAAGCACTGGTACCAGGAAAAGGAAAGCATTGAAGGACGCAAGTATCCCAAGCTTTAACCTGGGTATCTTCTCCAGTCAGGAAGACGGTTACGAGACAACCAGGAGAAGAACACTCAGGAAGATGTCACAGTAAGGGTTGATCTGGATGAAGATGTGAATGAGACTATAGAAGCAGAAGAATATCCAGTACCATCTGCTCTGGACGAAACAAAGAATCCCATTCCTTCCATCAATGAAATTATAACAAGGGCCAGTGCACCAGCTTCAGAGTCATCGAGTGATACAGAAAAACTAGAGATCATTGCAGCTATTGCAGAACAAGTTGAGAAAAACCCAGAGGTGGTTGAAGCAGTCCCTTTAAGCATAATTCCACCCGATTAGAATGTTGCTTCTACCACGGGTCGTCTACTCATGCTGGACAAAAATGAGTGTACCACGCCACCGCCTGCAATCTCAAAGAAAGCTGAAGTACTTGATGAAGGGTTAACAAAGACAGTGGAAAAGTAAGTTTGATCCACTGTGAATGCTCACAGCAAAATAGAAAGATGAATTTACATACTAACTCTCTTTTTTTTTGTCCTAGGATCCTCAATCAAAAACCTAGGAGGAGAAATCCACCAAGAATCCACCGGTTGCCCGAACGGTTCAGGTCGCCGTTTATGCTGCAGAAGAAAAACAAGAAAAAATTCATACAGTTGACAGAGGAGAACAAGAAAATGACCAAAGAAGAAGCCCTGTTGATAGACTTCGCTCTCTTGCAGAGACAAGAAGAAATTGTTAAATCAGCGTAAAAGCCACCATCCTTACCCGTGCGATAAAAAACTTACCAATTTTCCAACTATTTGTCTATTTGACTACTTTTTCTATGCAGGAGTTTCTTGTTTGAATTTGGAAAAATTGTTTGGGCAGACAGGACAGCATTCTATTCCATGAGGGAAGGCACATGGATAGAAAACAACATCATAGATGCTTGGGCTGTCATCCTAAACAAAGAAGAAGCTAAAAGTGACTCCCCAAGTCGGATATTCTTTGGTGTTTCCGCATTTGTAAGTCAACTAAACCGTTATTCTTTATCCCGCCCTGGTAAAATACTTGTCACGTGTCTGCAAGTTGTTTATCCAAAGGCTTTCCACTAGTTTTCTAGCCATAACGGCTGGTTATCCACATTCTGTAAACTAGTTATCCAGCCATAATTGCTGGTTATCCACATTCTGTAAACTAGTTATCCAGCCATTGTACTAATCATTGTATCATTTTCCAACCATCTTAAACAATAACACAGGATACAATCAGTCGCTACTATCAACAGGATAGTAACAAAGAGGAAATCGAGTTCACGTTCTATGAGAGGTTGGCTCTTGAATTAGAAGGACAAGGACTTAGTGTAGGATCCCTGATAGTGGCAAAAGCCGTAAGCAACATCTTTCACCTCCTTCACTCTTTCTATAATTGGCTGTTAAAAAATTTTCTTATGATTTTCCCTTTCAATGTGAAAAATCAGATCTACTTCCCAGTACACTACCGAGAACATTACTTCTTGTATGTGTTGCTGGTTCAAGAAAAGAAAGTCCTTGCATTCAACAATCTTCATGCAAAAGATCTGGACTACTACAAGCCAACAAAAGATCTACTTGTGAGTAAAAAAAAGATACAAAATGATTGTCATACTTTAAGAATTATCCATTGCATTTTGCTGATCCTTGGATTTTATGGCATCTCAGTTTCAGTTCTTTAAAATGTACCTTCAATGTGTGTTTCCAAACATAGAACTGGTCAATGCTCAATTCACCTTCACAGAGGTTACGCTACCATCGCACAATGACAAAAAGCCAAATGCGGAAGATTGTGGAATATTCACAATGCACCACATGGAGAAGTATGATGGTGGTGACTACGAGGACGGTACTACTTTGAATTTCCACACAGGAAACATCAAAGAGTACCGGTGGAGATACATGTTAAAAATCCTTATGCACCCATCCAACAAAAATAAGGACAAAATCCTCGAAGCAATGCACCAGTTCTACATAAATACTGCTGAAGAAGAACCAAAAGAAATCCCAGATCATGTTGATTTGAACAGCAAATCTTACTACAATGACAAAAAAATTCAGGGATGGGTTAAATGAACTATCATTATCTTGTCTTGTATAATTGATTGACTGTTGTAGTCCAGATCATTTTGTAATGGTTATCCAGGATCTTTCTACTAGTTATCTAGCTTCAATATTTCTTTACTGATTATCCAATGCTTTGAATTGATTATCCAGGACTTTTGTACTGGTTATCCAGCCAATGTGAAGCAATATCCAACCGTTTGTAGTGGTTATCCATGATCATTGTACCAGTTATCCATCTTGTTAAACCTGATTATCCGAATATTTTATAATGGTTATCCAGTCAAAAAAAATGCAAGTACAGTCTTTAATCTGATTATACATGAGATTATACTTCTTATCCAAAAAATCAATACTACTTATCCATATATAACAAAAGTTTTATACTGATCATCCAGTCAAAAAAAATGCAAGTACATTCTTTAACCTGATTATCCATGAGATTATACTTGTTATCCAAAACCTCAATACTGCAATCCAAACGGCATATTCATTGGGGGGCTTCGCCCCACATGATAAACTAAACGACTCCCGCGGCTACCGGAATCGCAGGTCACCAACCTGCCCCGGCTGCGCCGCTCTGCCGAACACGCCAATGTAGCTAAGGTAATCCTTTTTTCGTGTGTGTGTAAGGAGAGTGTGTTATTGCGTTAAGAGGGGACACAAATTAATTGTATAAATCCCCCTGTGATAAACTAAACGACTCGGCTACGCCGGTGCCCCCGGCTGCGCCGGTCTCGTGGCTGCGCCACCCACATGCCGAACAAGGCAAATTTCATAAACAGTGTTTAAAAAAATGAATCAGGTGAAGTTTGCCAAATGTGGAGAACAAAAAATGAATGAGGGGCAGGCTGTCTGACTTAACTAGCGGGCCAAACGCAACCCGCTTTAGAATCCCGTCCAAATTCTGGAAAAGTTGCCCCATTAGTGTGCACGTTTTCCGAACGGCGGCTGGGCAATCCCTTAGAATCCTTCGCCCGAAAACGTCATTCAATCATAATTGAGTGTGTTGGATAATGTACCATTCCTTCAACCATTCACCTGCTCTCGCCCTTTTTATGGGTATAAAATTCACTTTGTTTTTATTCTTTATGAAAAAATGCTAGTTATCCATAGTGGTTATCCACAGTAAAATTCACTCTGTTTTTATTCTTTGCTCATTATCCAATGCTCTGAATTAAGTATCCAGAACTTTTGTATTAGTTATCCAGGAACTTTGTACTAGTTATCCAGCCAGTTATGTAACTCATTTAAGGATAATCAACACTGGTTATCCATTATGTCCATACTGGTTATCCATAGTGTGGAACATGTTACTGTGTATAACTGAAAACCACACGTTCTGTAATTAAAATAGAATTTAAAAGATTGAGGGAGTATAAATAAAAAAAGAAAACTGAAAATGCTCGTGTTCATGTTCGTGCAGAGTACATCCACCATGATCTAATGGGTAGTTACAGAGCCACACATTTTTACATAACTGTCATTAAATGAGTTTCTTGATCTGCACCTGGGGCTAAAACTCCTTCATCTGCACATACACCAGAGCACCTGATTTGAGCATCCAAAACATCCAACAGCCAGAAAAAAATGAAAAACGAAAAAATTTTCTCAAATTCCACCACCAAACAAATGTCCCCCAGCTATCATGAATATATCCATCACGATATGCTTGATAATATGTTCATTAATCTGTCATTGGAAAAGATTGGACAGTTCCGTCATGTCAGCAAAGCTTGGGAGGAAATGACGAAAAGACAGGAATTTGTTCTTAAAAAACGTGAGATGAGCTACCCTGCAAGTGAAAACAACATCCTTATTTTCACTCAAACAAGCCAAGAAGATCACCTGTTGCAAGACAAACTAATCGCCACCAACATAAAAGTGCAAATGGATAACCCATGCAACCACATACGATTTCAAGAAGAGATGTCGATGGGTGACGACGGCATCCATAAAATCATGCCTATCACCACAGATTTGATCTGTCTGCAAACCAGCTCTCAAATCAAATTCTTGAACCCAAAGACAACACAACTTGCAACAATTAAATGGCCATATGATGTCCCTCTCAGCAATTGTGAAACAGCATTTGGGTACGTATCATCCTCAAAAACTTACGTTTTCATGGCCCTAATTGCCGATGGAAAAAACATGCAAGGCTGCATTTTTTCTTTTCTAAGTTGTTCAAGTATTCATAGAGGGGAATGGAAAACACTTTGCAATGTATGTCCTCGCCTTGTATCTGATGGAACCTGGTTTGATAGATTCGTGTACTGGCGTGTAGACAAACTATCCTCTGAAATAGCAACACCTCAAGAGTTGTCGGTTGTGTTTGACTACCACACTCAACAATTCCAACCCATATACTGCCCTCCATCTCCAACCTTCTTTAACCACACTTATCCTTCTCATATGAATCTCCAAGTGAAAATATTGGACTTCCAGGGGACTATGTGTGGAATAGATGAGTACGAGATTACTCAGAATCATCACTGTGAGATATGGGCATAGGATCCAGATACTTCCACATGGGATTGCATATTTGAGACCCATGAATTCTCAAATGTGAACACACACGTTCCACACGGATTACATTTCCGTCATGATTGGCTTTATCAAGTGTTCTTAAGCCACAAATCATCTCCAGCAGGACAGTTCATTGTAAAAGGATACGATAATCGTCATTTGTTGTTGTATAGTATTCCTACCAGGAAAATAACACACTCAAGTATATCGCCGGATCTAGAAACCAGTTTCATCATTAGAGCATGTTACTTCTGGGAAACATTAACACACTTTTAGGACTTTGTACTGGTTATCTAATGATATTACTGGTTATCCCAGGACTTTGTACTAATTATCCAGATTATCTATGCTGGTTATCCAATGTATTTTGGTTCTCCAAATATTTCTGTAAATTCCCAGGAAACAAAAACTGAGTGTCCCAATTTCTTGGTCTTTCTACTTCTTTATTAAACTGCTTATCCTATGATGTTATCTTGCTTATCCAGGACTTTTGTACTGGTTATCCAGCCAATGTGCAGCAATATCCAACCGTTTGTAATGGTTATCCATGATCATTGTACCAGTTATCTATCTTGTTAAACCTGATTATCCGAATGTTTTATAGTGATTATCCAGTAAAGAAAAAAATGCAACTACAGTCTTTAACCTGATTATCCATGAGATTATACTTGTTATCTGTCTTCAACGTGTTCATGTGTTTTTCTATAATATCTATATGCATTTAAAGTTGCATATCCGGTACAGGTGAGTTAGATATACAGTAAAAACGAAATGGATATCCACTACAAACAAAATAGATATCCAGTACAAACAACTTGGATAACCAGTTCAAACTGGTTGGATAATCACCGTGAACACAACGGATAACCAATTTAAAATAACCACTCGGATAACCAGTACAAACAAAATGGATAACCAGTTAAAACTGGTTGTATAATACTGCAATTTAAAATAAATAATACTTTTTAAATAAAAATCTTTACGCCATCAATACTGTTCATTTCAACATCAAGTTAAAATACTAATAAAACATCTTGTTGAAGAAACGCTGCGCTCCAGCCTCCCTGGCAGCTTCCCTTTGGTTAGGAAATGAGAAACCACCAAAGTTTTCATTCATGAATGTCATGTTTTGATGAGAAGGATTCACAGCAGTGGAAGTGCTTTCGCCTTGAAACTCCTGGCTAGCTCCCTTGGGAATTGAAAATGAGAATCCACCGGAATTTTGGTTAATGAACGGCATGCTTTGATCAGAAGCATTCATAGAAGTGGAAGCCCCTGCCCATGAAAAATGCTGGGCAGCTACGCTTGGATTAGCAAATGAGAATCCACTGGAATTTACGTTCAAACATGGCACGCTTTGATGAGAAGCATTCACAGCAGCAAAACTTCCTGAGCCTGTAAAATGTTGAGCAGCTCCCTTTAGATAAGGAAATGACATGCTTTGATAATGCAGGTCTGATGCAACTGAAGCTCTTGTTCGGTCTGCAACAATTCTTGCATTTGTTTTCCTGCCTCTGACTTTGTTACATGCCTTCTCAAGAATGCTTTTAGGACGTTCGTTCCTGGGACCAAACTTCTTCCTCTTTACAGCCGGATTCTTTATAACACCATCATTGTCTACAGACTCATCATTATTATTTGAACCAATGAAACTGCTGAGTTCTTCTTTAAGCCTGTCAACAGCCTCATCACAATATTTCTTTGCATCTTTGTTATATTCACTTGCAGACGCCAAGTCTGAAAATCGTCTCATAACTAGTGCCTTCCACAGCAATGGCCCAGCAGCTTTTCCATCTCCCTCATTAGCTATGCTTGACCTGGCACCATAACCTTTTGTCCATCTCATACATATATAATCTTTAGGAAACTCATCAACAGAGGTTACGTGACAGATCCGAAAAATGTGGCAACAAAGCATGCCCGCCTCAGAGTAGTACCTGCATGTGCATGAGAATCTCTATAACCTAGTGTCATGTACAACCACATGCTTAAAGTGCTCTATCCCAAACCGCCAAACATGGTACGTCACTGTATTGCCATCATTTGAGACCTCTAACTGCTCCTGCCTGCAAAACATCCCATCTTTGTGCAACTGTTGAACCTCCCGGAATGCTTCAACTGTGTACACTCTGCGAATGCTCTCCAGGAAAGGGTCACCGGGAAGATATGAATCGATGTTTCCTTGGCTACAACGTAGATCTTCACCCCTCACAGCTACCCGCCAACAGTGTACAACATCAGAGAAAATTCCATGGAAATCACAAAGCGATGATGTGGCCTTCATTTTACGACAAATTGCATTATTTGTTGACTCGCTCCTCTGTGAAGACAAGGTACCACCAGAAAAAAAATCTTTGGTAAATGCAGGGCACCACATATGCCTCACGTCATAAATACCACTGAGCCATTTGTCATCATGACAATCATACTCATCCAATAATCTGTGCACAACAATATAAAACACATGCATAAAAAGAAAAATATTTAGGTTATCCATATAGTTATCCAGCCAAGAAAGCCTTTCTACTAGTTATCCAGCCATAACGGGTGGTTATCCAGAGATAATTGCTGGTTATCCACAATGTGTAAACTAGTTATCCAGAATGGCTAAAAACTAGTTATCCAGCCATAGTTGCTGGTTATCCAGAATCTGTAAACTAGTCATCTGAACATTATGGGTGGTTATCCACAATCTGTAAACTAGTTATCCATGCCTTTTTTTAGTTGTGCTTCTACAATGTACCTACCACAAAGATCATGCATGACCACTAACAAACACATACCCACACAAAAAAAAAAAATAAGAGACACTCTTAATCATGGAAATGATCAAAATAATAATAAAAATATTGTCAAACTGACCTCCTCCATAATACCTCGAACTCGATTTTCTGTTGAAGTGTATTTCATCAGATAATTAAAGTTCTTAACAAAATCTGGCTTGTTCCTTAAATGACCAATTCGTTTTCTTGAATTTTCACCTATGTGCCATACACAGAGACGATGCCGAGAACTTGGAAAACATGTCCGAATACTTGCAGCAATGGAAGGTGCTTGATCTGTCATTATGGTTTGTGGCTGTTTTTCTCCCATTGATTTCAAAAACTGCTTGAACAACCAATCAAAAGAGGGTTCTTTCTCGTTTAACACAAAACCACAACCAAACATGACATTCTTGTTATGATTATCCATACCCACAAATGGAGCACAGATCATCCCATATCTGTTTGTTCGATACGTTGTATCAAACACAAGCAAGTCACCAAACAAATTATAATCCTTTCGCATTCGCCATCCCTCCGAAGAAAATACACGACCTACCCCGCTCATCACACTCAAAATCAAAGAAGAAATCTTCTTCGCTTTCCTTCATGTCCCAAAAAATCTTCATGAGCTGATTACAATCCCCACCTTCAAATCCAACACCAGGACGCTCATAATTGTAGGCATCTCTCAAAGTATATTTCATGTTCGGGCTTCCCCCGTGTAATTTTGCCACAAACTTAAATGCATCAACCAAAGGGATGCCACTCCTTGTCAGGTCTCTGATTATCTTCATATCATTTTCATCTACTTCACGTTGAGATCGAAGAAGTCCAATCATTTCATTCGGCACAAGATCATGATTGTGATCAACCAGATGCTTTGTACAGGTCCACAAGCTATCTTTGTCAATAGTAAAATGGATATAAACTGGGCACCCACACCGAAAATTAACCCTCTCATGGCACACATCACCATTTCCACTGGATCTCTTGTATCCTTCGCGGTTACAACAGAACTTATTCATCCTAACTTTATCAGTCTTACCTCTAAACTTCTGTTTTTCCAGTCTCACACTAAAACCAATCAATCGGGCATGATCATTATACAAATCATAAGCTTCTTTCTCACTTCTTGTCGTCTTACCAACTAAAGTAAAAACAGCCAAATCATTATTCTTCGTCACAGATGAAATTTCCTTGTGCAAGGCATCCTCCTCCAACATCACATTATCAACTCCCAATTCATTGCCGCTATTATCTTCTCCACATTCTGAGAAAAAACAAAAGAGATGGTTGGATAACCATTACCATGCAGTCGGATAATCAGTATTAACACTGGATAAACAAATCAGAAAAAAAATTTAAACCATATAAGCAAGTTAGAAAACCCACCCTTCAGAGCAGATGTAACTTCCATGCACAAATCATCATCCAGCATCATATCATCCCCCAACTCATTGATATGCTCTTTTACAAAAAATGAGACAAACAGAAAAACAAAAAATCAGTTGGATATCAACAGACAACTATCCTAATACCATAAATGTAGAGAGCAAGAACTTGATATATGCAGATTCATACATTCAACAATAGTGTCAAACAAACCTTTATCCCAGATGGACTCTCCATGAAACTAAGCTTGTACGCATGTTTGGATACACATGTAAATCAGTTGGATAACCAGTAGACATAAGCTGGACATCCAGCACAAACAAAGTGGATATCCAGTACAAACATTTTGGATATCCAACACAGCATAACTGCTTATCCAGTTCATATTAACAAAAATAGAACTGTGAAAAAAACTTGAATGATTACCTGATTCCAGCTGATCTACAACAGAACTGTGCCCTTGCGTTGATTTACTGGCACAGTAAGGTTGTTCGATGGATTTTCTACCATTACATTCCGCATTCATCAAGACGGAATCATCAACGACATAACTCATCACTCGATCTGAACTAAGCATATTGTCGATCCAATCACCGTTTCGCCACTCTGGCGGAATCGGAGCCTTTCCTCGATCGCTGAACTTCGTCGCCGTCTCAACGACTCGATCTCCGCCGGCCGTGTCCACCTCAACGCCACGATCGCCGACTCCCATTGCCGCCTCAACGCCTCGATCGTCGCCGGCCATCTCCAATCAATAATACTCTATCACAAAGTTTTACAAATTTGAATGAATTCGGTTATTTACATATCCCCGCGTTTAAATAAAAG